CTATTGTTGTCATAAAATCATATTCAGCATGAACAGCTATTGTTATAACGGAATTCAAAGAATGTTTACAATACAATATATATTTATATATATAGACTTTATCTGTACCTATAAATAATCATGTATGACCAACGTTCACCATGACTACTTGTCTGGCAGAGTATGATCGACGTTACATCATGACTTGTCTGGCAGAATATGACCAACGTTCCACCATGACTTTTCTGCCAGGGTATGACCAACGTTACACCATGACTTGTCTGCCAGGGTATGATCAACGTTCACCATGACTACTTGTCTGGCAGAGTATGATCGACGTTACATCATGACTTGTCTGCCAGGGTATGACCAACGTTCCACCATGACTTGGCTGCCAGGGTATGACTGACGTTACACCATGAATTGTTTGCCAGGGTATGACTGACGTTACACCATGACTTGTCTGCCAGGGTATGACCGACGTTACACCATGACTTGGCTGCCAGGGTATGACTGACGTTACACCATGAATTGTTTGCCAGGGTATGACTGACGTTACACCATGAATTGTTTGCCAGGGTATGACCGACGTTACACCATGACTTGTCTGCCAGGGTATGACCAACGTTCCACCATGACTTGGCTGCCAGGGTGTGACCAACGTTACACCATGACTTGGCTGCCAGGGTATGATCAACGTTCACCATGATTACTTGTCTGGCAGAATATGATGAACGTTACACCATGACTTGGCTGCCAGGGTATGACCAACGTTACACCATGACTTGTCTGCCAGGGTATGATCAACGTTCACCACGACTACTTGTCTGGCAGAGTATGACCAACGTTACACCATGACTTGTCTGCCAGGGTATGACCGACGTTACACCATGACTTGTCTGCCAGGGTATGATCAACGTTACATCATGACTTGTCTGCCAGGGTATGACCAACGTTACACCATGACTTGTTTGGCAGAGTATGACCAACGTAACACCATGACTTGTCTGGCAGAGTATGACCAACGTTACACCATGACTTGTCTGCCAGGGTATGATCAAAGTTTCACTGTGGGTTTTTTATATTTTGTTTAAAAAAACGTTAGATCTCAGGTTCAGTGTGGTTAGTACGATAGAGAACCTTTATGCCCAGTTTGACAGGATGATACGTACGTCTACTTTAGCAAATATTACCGAAATTCTGCACACCACAACAAGACGCGACGTAAAAAAGAACAAAAACAAAACTGAAACCATTTACGACTTACCCAACACCTTTACCTCAACCTGCGTGTAGCCTTCGCCAAGGGAATTGTTGACCATCTGCACACCACAACAAGACGCGACGTAAAAAAGAACAAAAACAAAACTGAAACCATTTACGACTTACCCAACACCTTTACCTCAACCTGCGTGTAGTCTTCGCCAAGGGAATTGTTGACTACACAGAGGTATCGTCCTTCGTCTTCCAGCTCCACGCGGTATATTCTTAGACTTCCGTGAAGTCGTTGAAGCTTTGGCGAAGAATGAATTCGTTCTCTTTGGGACCCCTTTATTTTAAACCAAGTGTAGGTTGGAGGAGGCTGACCCTGAGCAGCACAGGGAAGATACGTAGTTTCTCCTTTGTTGACCGACACCAGTTGTTGGTTGGAAGTAATGCTGGGGTCAATTTTCTCTTTTGGATCTAAAAGTTGAGAAAAATAATTGAAAAACTTTTAGAAGGTTAGCTTGTGATGAGGTGAAGTAATTAATGTACAAGAGGAATTAATTAGTAATTAATATACAAAAGGTGAAGTAATTAATGTATGAAAGGCGAAGTAATTAATTAGTAATTAATATACAAAAGGTGAAGTAATTAATGTATGAAAGGCGAAGTAATTAAT